CAATACAAATAACCTCTAAAAGGTTATTTTCCGGTGAACCAGTCACTTTGGCTTCTAAGTTCGTTCTTGGACATAGAACTACCTTCCAAACCCTCATTCTACACTTTTAAACATGTAGAATAATATCTCAGGGGTCCTTCATATGATATATAAGTCATATCTCATATTATAATCCATAGATGGAAGAAAAGTAACTAAAGAGATTCTCATCTTTATTCTCAAGATTTTTCTCTACTTTTGTAACTCTCTCTTCTTCCTTGAGCTTCTTGTTTGTTTGAGCTCCCTTCAACAATGGAGATTGAGGTTTGAAGAGCTCTTTTTCTCTTTCCTTGGTGGATTGGGTCGAGCATAATGGAGGGGAAGGGGGTTGAGTGACTAATTTTATCTCAAAGGTCAAAGAATGATGGAGGAGGGTCCCTTTGCCTTTCAACCTTCTCTCTACCATCTCATCATACTCAACAAGTCTCAACTTGTATTCCAAAGCACACAATTCGTCCATAGAGTGTGTCATTTCGTGGGGTGGCCCCCACTCATGTGGGATGTCATCCCTTTTAGCCCCGGTGTTTGTATTCGACCCCGAAAGTTATATTTTTCGGACCGTTTTAATTACTCCCTCCGTCCCACTAGAAGGTTCCCACTTTTCTTTTTTGGACGTCCCATATAAAGGTTCCCAATATAAAAAAACACATTTATAACATCACAATTATCAATACTAACTACATTAAAATATATACCTATTAAAATTATTTCTCAAAATATACTCAAAGTACTTTATTTAATTATTGTCTAAATAATCGTGCCGTTTTGCTATGGGAACCTTCCAACGGGACGAAAATAGTGTATTTTATTTTATTGGGCCAAATAAAATATATGTCATGTTCCCTATCACTATGGACCTTTAGAATAAATATACATTCCCCATATTTAATCAGAAGTCCTCGGAATTTAATTATCATGGACTATTATCTGACGAAATACTGGTACTCGTATATGATATGGGCCGTGTATGACCAATCAGTCGACTATAGGCCTCTCTTATGATCCAACTTGAATATCCGCCACCACACACACACACACATGTACATATACATATACATACATACATACATACATATATATATATATATATATATATATATATATATATATATATATATATATATATATATATATATATATATATATATAGACACACACACATACACACACACACACACACACACACACATATATATATATATATATATATATATATATATATAAATTTACCCCACATGCAATTTACTATTCACGCAAAAGTAATAACATAAATTTACAACCTCGTAAATTCATTAACCATTTCATAAGGTTCAATACATTATATTTACATAAAAGTAAATACACTTGGAGACAGTGTTACATCTACCTCTTCAGCAATCGATTTGTTTATGTGAGGAATTGAGAGATAAGAACATGAGCGATTTGGTTTGTGCGAAGGTGAGAAGTTTAAGTGATTTCGTTTGTGCAAAACTAAGAAGTTGAGGGACTTCGCTTTCCGACGGAGGGTCTAAAGTAGATCTAATTTAGGCTATCTGACGGTGGAAACAAAACACGATGCTTGAGTAGGAAAATGACTATCCGCAAAGTAATGCAATTATGTACGAGGATTTTACATTTAAGACTTAATAATAAGACAACTTTTTATTTGATCTAACACCATATATATAGGCCGAGAAATTACCTTAGGTATGACTAAAACTTCACGAGTTTCACAATCTACGACTTAACTAGCTTTATTCTCAAAATAAGATTTATATTTCAAATATTTAATTAATTTTGTAATCAATAAATAAATTTTATGGACTAATATACCCTTTAGAATATGCCTATAAAATCCTAATCTTCTACTCATTTTCTCCGACCCTAGCCTCTAGTCTCCCGCCGCCCAAGATGCACCTGCCTCTCATGACCGCATCACGCCCGCCTGCCACCGGCCCACCACTGTCCCGATGCACGTCTACCTGCCACCATCTAGATGCGCAGCCGCCTACTCACCGCTCAAGAGTCACGTCGCTGAGTTGCAAAGGGTTTGGAAGCGTCACCACTAATCTCACGCACGATGGTTGGCTCGGAGGTTGTCGGCGACCTCGCACCTGCGCAGGGGTGCCGACCTGCGTAAAGGTGTTGGCCTGGGGTAGAGATGGGCGGAGAGCCCTGTGTGCTGCCGTCTTGGGCTGTGTGCGCCACTGCCGTCCCAAGCCCTGCGCGCCGCCTTCCAACCGTGCCCCTTCATCCTCAACCAGTCACTGCCGCCATCTAACTAGACAACCACACTCAACTCGCCACCACCATCTAGCCGCACCACCGTCCGCCTCCATTAGTGAAAGATAACTCGCAGACTCTTCTCATAGTTGAATATTTAGAAATTAGTTCAAATAGGACTAAAACTATGGCAAAAATCTAAAATAGGACTTGCTATGTTTTTATTCCAAAATAGGACCATATGAGTCCTATTTGAAACATACCTATTTTTGCATTCCATTCTTACCCTTCCATTAAATATGAATTAAAAATAGTCAAAAGCCATAATTAAATATTTAATTCATAATAAATTCGAAAAAAATTCAAAAATTCGTAGAAATATAAGTAAAAAATTTATAAAAATTTTATAAAATAAAAAATTCATTTTTTTTAAATAATTTTATTTTTAAAAAAATTAATAAAAAATAGTAAAACTCCGTAAAAAAAATTAAAAAAATATGGATGCCTTTCCCACCGCCTGTACTACCTCCCAGCACCACCACCTCCGGCCGATGAAAAAAATGCCATTTTCCCAGAAAAATGCCATTTTTTTCTGAAAATGCCAAAAAGTGGCATATTTCTCTTTTCGAATGCCAACATTTTCATTTTTTTTCTGCCATAAATATGGCATTCGTAATGAACTTGGCATTTTTTTCCCCTGGTGACTGGAGGTGGTGGTGCTGAGGCGGCAGAGGCGGCGGCGATTTTTTTTTGAGTTTTTTATTTTTTTTTTAATTTTTTTTTTAATTTTTTTTAATTTCTTTAATATTTTGAAAAAAAAAATTAATTAACTTTTTAATATCGAAATGTTTTTCTTAATTTTTTAGTATTTTTTACGAATTTTTATTATTTTCTATTATTTTATTAGGAATTAAAACATTTTAATAGCTAAAAGGGTATAATTGTCCAAGGTACACATAATTAGTCCTATGCAAACATAGTTTATTTTTTGGTCCTATTTGTGAAAAGTGAATGACTTTTAGTCCTATTTTGATAATTAACTCTTGAATATTAAATTAGGTTTGACTTTTTTCATAAGTTCGTACATAGCCCAGCCCATACTTAATTGTGGTAGTGGGTAAGATTCTTATAATTGGGTGTAGATAAAAATTCAAAATTAATAGCGACGAAGATTACTCCGTCTCTTCTTTTTCCATATGAACATTGACAGGAAACATGTGCAGTAAATACAACAATAGATAATATTGTACATGAGTAGTGAATGAATGCATTAAAGAAGTGTGTTGTGCAGTGATTCGAAGACAATAAATAGTGTTACAACATTGTCGGGAAGGGTAGTGATTATGACCAGTAATGCAGTAATGCCGAGCACTAATGCTACCATGAAATGCAATATACTTAATTAGATGTAAAATATTAAAATTATTAAATTTAAAAATTTAAAAGAGAACTATAAATAGATTTTTAAAGTGGATGAAAAGGGAATTAATGTTGCCAGAAGTGCAGTGATTATTACTGGATATGCAGTAATGTCGTGCAATAATCGTAGTATAAAATACAGTAATTTTAATTGGACGAAATAAGCGCCAAAATGCACATATTTTAAATAAGAGTATTTTCGTCATTTAACATTTAAATAAACGATTTGTTTTATTTTCAGTCATACAAATGTCTATAATTATAACTATTCATATTTAGAGAAACTCAATAGATTTTAGTGATATCTCGAGAAATTTCCATATATACGCCCTGAGTTCAAATAATATGTACTCCCTAAGGGGTCGTTTGGTTCAGGGAATGTCAGATTTCCACGGGAATGTCATATTGGTGGGTATGTTAGATTGATGGAAATGTATTCAATCTATTCCCATTCGTGTTTGGTTAAGATTAAGGGGATGTGATATTAATTTACTTTGATTGAAAGATATCTTATATTGCAGATATGGTGAATTACTTCAATGTCCTTTAAATATTTTATCTTAACACAATAAATCTATTACAACCTACATCTAAAGTAATTAAAATTAAAGAAAAAATGAAATATCTTAATAATAAATAAAATCAAACCTAATTGAATTATTTTCAAGTAAACTACGTTTAATTGTAAAAAGCTGTACATCCAATTCAAAAGTGAAAAATCTTTGCTCACATAGTAATCTAAATAAATTTATTATTATTTCAAAAAATTAAATTTAAAAATGTTCAAGTTATTCATAAAACTTCTTTTCAATTTAAAGAAAAAATGATCAATTTTGCCATTAAATTTTGAAATCCACTCATCAAAAACTTAAAAAATCTATAAGTCTTATAAAATATATACCTTACAATATTTAATGTTAAGGAAAAAAGAATTATGAAAATAACAAGAATAGAATTAACTGTCCCACTTAAAAGACTGTCAAACAATCTACGGTCGACTGACCATAAAATTAACTGACCTCTTTCAATAATAAGATTATTAATTAGTAAATAAAATTTACATATTTAGAAAATACATTAAAAGTTTTATAAAATCGCACTATATAAAGACATTAGTTGAAAAGAAATGATTAAGGGGGTATTTTCGGAAGAAAATTAGACCATCCCCAGGAATGTAAGATAATTAAGAAAATTAAGGCGTCAATGGTTATAAGATTCCCCTCCATATATTACATTACCAGGGATGTAACTTTTCCGATTTTTTTTCAATCCCGTGAACAAAAAATGAGTATCTGACAAAAAATGAGTATCTCAAATTACCCAAACCAAACGGTCCAAAGGCCCAATTATTTTTAAAAAGGTTATCCCCTCATCAGGAACCAACACCACCGACCATCTTCCCTCATCCTGTCCCTCGTTGCTCGCGTAGGAGCCGGACGTCCGTCCTTCCATCGCCAACAATGGCGTAGTCTTCTTCCGCGCGCACCTCTTCGACACGTTGTATGCTGCATCTGGACGCTGGAAAAATCTCTGATTTCCGTTGTTCCGACTCACTACTCAGCTAGGTAAACTTGTTTTCTGAAAATTAAATTTCAGGTTTCGTTCAAAACAAAGAGATATGAGATTTAATTAGTGAATTTTTATGATATGTGCTTCAGAAGATTTCATATTCAATTATCAATTGACCGTCTTTTGTTCAATTAATAAATTGTAGTTTTCTGAAATTTTAATTAGTAAAATGTAGGAACAAAAGATTTTTAAAAAATTCTGCACACCCTCTTTATTAAGTTTCTCTTTGATGTGTAAAGATAGTTACGGAAATACTGTTACAGATAGTTAACAGTGCACTGTTTTCAACTTGTATTGCAAAGACGGTGATCAAATTAATATATCAATGTTTTTTTTAAAATACGACTCTGTTCACAACATTTTATAAGTAACATTGAAAGCGTTCTTGTTGTTAATACAGGCAATTAGTAATTTAGGATCAAATGTTTCATAAGCATATTTTCAACATTCTTTTACTTCACCAAGGAATCAGATAACCACAAATGTTTCTATAGAATTTCTGAACATTGAATGATTGGAATACACCATTTCTCATTATCACAACAATGTGGTTGGTTGCTGGTTTAACTAAATTTTAAAAGTATTTAAGTATTAACCCCACTGTTTTGAATGTGATTGTTACTTGTGAGGATCTTTTGAATCTTAATTTATCAAATGATGTGATGGATTGTTGTAGAGTTGAATTTGTGATTTTTTAATTTGACTCTGATGAAAACTTGTATTCTTGTAAAATATTTGTAAAACTTCTTTTTGTATTTTACATTTTTACCTTGTTGCAATTGAAGTTATTTTATACACCCTCCACCCGCACAGCATTTTCTTTTCTTATTTCACACCTAACATAAAGTTGGCAAAGTCCAATGAGACGGGGCCACAGGAGTAATATGTATTAATGTTTTGGCCCACCCTCAATCCAAATGCTAGATCCGCACCTTATTGTACATACTATGTATTTTGATTCGGACTAATGAATGATTGGTGGTAGAGTATATACAACTATAGTATACATCTTAAATCAAAAGTATGAACATATTTATGTGACAGTTAAGATCAAATTCACGATTTTTCAAACTCTTTCTCCTGGAATAAGATGTATAACCACTCAAGAACATCTTATTGCAGACAGTTCTGAAGACATCACTGCCACTTCACCACCAAAAACATCTTATTGCAGACAAGTTTGAAGAAGTTTATTGCTCATTTCGACTGGCTGTGATGATCTCCATCTCCCGCTACTGTGGGTATTATATTATGTTTATCTTCCTAAAAGTTTTAATCTCGAATTACTGGGTTGCAAGTGTTGTGTGAAAATGATTACATATAGAGCTGGACTTAGAGTTTCTTAATTATTATGGAAGGTTAATGTGTTGTCTTTCCATTTAATGTGTCTTTTCGTGCTTTTATGTCTTGAGAAGATAAACCAAAATTGTGTGTATTTGGAAATAATGATCTGTTGTGTAGTACTGCTGTGTCTTCATTGTATTTATTGAGAACCAAAAATTTAATTCAAAGTTACTGCTGCCAAGAATAATCATTTTGTGTGTCAACTTTTTTCCTATGCTAAACTAATCCGATGATGTGCGTGTGCACAAGTGCACGACCATACCATGGGACTCTTTTGTCTGCAACATGCTCTGCAAGTTTCCTTCTGCTATTATATGATATTACACACACACACACACACACACACACACATATATACACTCCCTCCACCCCTATCATTGTCCCATTTTCTCTTTTTCATCTGTCCCACTAAGGTTGTCCCATACTATATTTGGTAATATTTACTATTTAGGTAGTTGCAATTCATTCTTACTATGTTTACACAATATCACTTTTCGTAATAATCACACCACTCCTTCTTGTCTCACTCTTAGGGGATGAAGGTAGTAATAGATACATACTAATAGATTATAAACACCTACAGGGCCACACCCTCTCTTGTCATATATCTGTGAATTTCATTATGGCAGCCATTCATGCTCTTTTTCTTTAAAGCTCTTCATCCATTTCAGCTCTCGCCTCCCTTTTCTTCAATATCCACTTCAGGTGCTAATGGCTTCAATGCATCCAATAAACTCATCGTTATGCGTTGCTCCGAAGCGTCGCCGGTTACTGTGGCCAATGGAAATGTAGATCTGCGATCTGTTGAGAGAAATGAGATTCGCCTTGGCTTGCCTAGCAAAGGTCGAATGGCTGCTGAGACTCTTGATCTTCTTAAGGTAAATATGTACTTGCGTGTACTGGTTAATCTAAATTGACCTTTATAGCTTACTCATTCTCACTAATGCTTTTCATTTATGAAAGGACTGCCAATTGTCAGTGAGACAAGTAAATCCAAGGCAGTACGTTGCCACAATTCCTCAGGTGCACTTAGCCACCGACCTTTCCTGTTTATGCTTTAAATTTGTTTCTAGTTCCACAGTTGGTTCTTTGTTTTTTATGTTTACCTGAGTTCGATTTATGGGTAGGATTTGGCTGCCACAAGAAATTCATTCTGACAATTTTTACTAATATTTTTGAATCCCTGATGCAAGTGTTATTGAACTAAATTGTAGAAGAGAGCATGTTTATGAAGCAGGATATAAGGGGTGTAAGAAGCATGAGAAAAGGATGAAGGAAAAGAATTCAGTTTTTATCTAGCGGATAACCTAGCAGCTCTAGCTTATTCCTTAAAAAATAAGAATAAAAGAAATCTATAAATGAACTAACTTTTGTTATTTATAAATTGACCAGTCTTCTTCAAATCATCCCAAAATGCTGTACCTTTTGTAATTCTCTAGGATCAATAGGAAATGACATGATAATGTGATATGGTACTATATGAGGCTTGCATTTCAATCTCTTATCCAATCATTTGAACTCAAATTTGTGATGGGACCCACTTTCAATTCATTTGCCAAATCCTAGATAAAAATCTGTAGATTTCTCTCCCGTTCACTAAGCCAGGATATGGTGACTTGCATTATTTTACTCAATAGTATGTCATCATCGTTTTTTCCCAATAGCTATTTTTATTTTTATTTTGATGTCCTTTACTGGTATGGGCGTCCTTGCAGCTCTCAAACTTAGAAGTTTGGTATCAACGGCCGAAAGATATCGTGCGGAAGTTGATTTCTGGGGATTTGGACCTTGGTATTGTTGGGTTAGACACAGTTTTTGAATACGGACAGGTAAGATCTAAATCTTAATAATGACTTGAGTTGTCCTCTTCTGAATAAGTGTAGTTCATGCTGGATCGGGATCAAGATACTGAGTATTTGAAAAAGTAGCACTTTTTTGCAACATGTTTTATTGGCAGATTTTTTACTTTAAACAGAGCTTAAAGGGTAGCCTTGATACACCAGTTAAGGTGATGCCGTGTGACCTTGTGCTCACCGGTTTGAGTTCTTGAAGCAGCTCCTTAAATTGCATGGTAAGGTTTGCCTCACCTCATCCTTGTGATGGGATCCATTCCGGACCCTCGCTCAACAGGGATGCATAGTGAACGGGGCAACCTATAAAATTATAACAAAACTTTCCAGTTTAAGTAAGTGCAGACTTTTAAATTTTGTATCATATCAGTTCCTGAAGAATCATAAACTATAACAAGCCATTCGGTGTGGCAGTTAAATGAGATTTTTTTGCTTAACATGTTCACAAGTTTCCATCTTTATTTATATTCTCTGATGAATGAAGTGAGTACAACAGTGTATCCGTTCGTATGATTTCTTTGTTAGCCTGATTCGAATTCATGTTCTGTTGTTTAGTAGAACAATTATGTTCTTTGCTGGCTATTTAACTTCATCTCTGCAGGAGAATGAAGATCTTATTATAGTCCATGACGCTCTTGAGTATGGTGATTGTCGATTATCTCTAGCTGTAAGTGACAATGACGTCTTTGTATAAACACATTGTAATTGTGTCATGTTATAAGCATATTCATATTATCATAGCTATTTTTCTAATTATAAAGATGTATAGCTGAATATGCATTTTCATATTTGCAGATACCACAGTATGGAATTTTTGAGAATGTAAACTCATTGAAGGAGCTAACGGAAATGCCACATTGGACACCTGAGAGACCTTTGAGAGTAGCTACAGGATTCACATATGTATGCTGCCCTGGCTATGTGCAATGTGACATGTCCCTCTCCTTTTCCACAATTACATACATACGGAGTAGTATATAATTATTGTTATAGTCAGCTGTCACAGTTATTAATTCTAAAATGATATTTTCATTTCACAATCTCCTTTTCTTTTACAGATGGGGCCCAAGTTTATGAATGAAAGTGGATTAAAACATGTAACCTTTTCAACTGCAGATGGAGCACTTGAGGCAGCTCCAGCAGTAAGCCCGAATTTTACCCATTTGAAAAAAATATCAGTTTCCTTAGGGTATGTTTTGGAGTTGTGGGGGGGGGGGGGAGGGAGGCTTTGAAAGTTAGCCGTAGGAGAGGAAGTTATGGGAAAAGAAGAAAATCCTTCTTGTTCTTGTTTGGGAGTTGCAAATTTGGAAAGAGGAAGGTTATGAAAGAATTTTAATTAAAATTACTTCAGAGGTATGACGTATTCAATATTTATTTTAAATTGAGCTAGAGTTGGCATTTAATTACTTATCATTCAAAAAGCCTCAATTTGGAGGAACTTAAAAATTGAGTATTTGAAGGGTATTGGAGGGTTACAAAAAGACTCAAAAGTCATCCCTTCCATATTTTTAAACTCCCCCAAAAACGGAGAATCTTAAACCCTCCTTACCTTTCCCCTCCCCATTCCAAGCCTAACTCCCAAACATACCCTTAAGTTCAGTGTTATTGACTTTGCAGATTGTCATCATTTTCATTTACCCCAGTGCCGCAAAGGCTCCCACCTACGGTGGGGTAAGGGGGGGTCGGATGTACGCAGTCTTACCCCTGTACTAAAGCATAGAGAGACTGTTTCCGGACGACCCATAGTGAAAATCGCGTCCAAAATTGCATGGACTGACTGCTGCTTCATAACAAAGAAGCGCAGACAGTTTAGTGAGCCATTTTGCTTTATTCCATCATAATCTCAAGCCAAAAAATGATGAATCTTTGGCTCCATTGCAAATGAGGGAGTTGACTTTGCAGATTGTATTGTATTTAAATGAAACATTTTTCCTCTTCCTCATGAACTAATTACTGTGTTTGGCGCTTAGAATCATGATTGTCTTCACTTGTTCGCGGTATTGGTCAAATCAGAGAAAACATCTCGTTCTATTTAAATGTTCTGGTTTGTTCTTTTGATGTTTGGATTACAGTTTTTTTTTTTTGTTTCAGCATTTTGTTTGTGAGGTGATTGTATGATGCAATTGCACTTCAAATTTCTTTTGAGATTGTTCAAATGTTTGAAAAAACATTCAATAATTGCTTCATCATTTCTTCCTAATAATATAGATGGGAATAGCTGATGCAATTGTGGACCTTGTGAGCAGTGGAACAACATTGAGAGAAAACAATCTTAAAGAGATTGAAGGTGGAGTCATCTTGCAAAGTCAGGTAATTCATTTTTCAGCCTCTGATGCTTTCAAAGTTTACAAATAGTGGTCCAATGGCTCAGACCACATTTTTTCCTATGATTACTGGGACTTGTAAAACAATAGTATGATCATCATTGAGTACTCCATTGCTCCTATTCAAATACAGTTGCACCTTTTTTATTATGGAATTATTGAAATACTTTTTCTTCCTCTTGTGGTAAACAGGAGCTTGTCAAGTGATCCTTACTTTTTCGTATTCTCTCTCATTTTTATCATCTCCCCTACTTTTCTTACGCTATCATCTTTGCTCTTGTACTTCACTTATATCGCAAATGTTGTTCTCTAGAAACCTAGTGAACAAGTATTCAAACACGGAGGGAGTTTAATAGTATTACTTTGACACTTTTTTCGGTTCACTTAATGGGTGAACGGATTTTCAAGGGTCGAATGGATGCAAGCTGTGGAGTCTATGCCTTGTCATAGAGATCCAAAGTTTGAAAAACATGCATACAATAATCGTGAAATTGTAATGGAAATCATTATGACACATGGCAATTGGGTGTACAACACCGGTTGCACTTTTTTCCCCTTCTGCGCAGGCCGTCTTTATTGCTAGCAGGAATTCATTGATGCAGCGTAAGGGTGTACTAGATATAACACATGAAATGCTTGAAAGGTTGGAGGCTCATTTACGGGCTTCGGGTCAATTCACAGTGTGTATAATCTCCCCCTATTTTTCACTTGTTTTTAAAAATAAAATAAAAAATTGCTTACTAAACATATTTCCATGGCAGGTAACGGCCAATATGAGGGGAAGTTCAGCACAGGAAGTAGCTGAGCGTGTGTTGAGCCGAAATTCCTTGTCAGGTTTGCAGGTATGGACCAAGAGTGTAACTGAAGAGATTAGTAGAGTAGAAAAACACCTTACTACTTTTGGATAGTGTGTGACACATCCTCATCATAAACACACTGCATTAACTGATAACTGCTCTGCAACAACTTAGACATGCCATGTTTGTGTAAATAAATGTAGGGACCCACAGTAAGTCCAGTCTTTTGCAAACGAGATGGTCAAGTAACGCCAGATTACTATGCAATTGTTATTTGTGTCCCGAAGAAAGCATTGTATAAGTCTGTGCAGGAGCTGAGGGCGGTGAGTTTTATACAACACATAATTTTATAAAGTTGACAAAGATTCGTAACTTCAACTCCCTATGCCTTAATTAGTTGTCCTTATAGAAAATTAATAAATACATAAACAGCCTTATCTGCCTTCCCTTACCCCCCACCATAGGTGGGAGCCTTTGCGGCACTGATGATGATGATGATGATGATGAGCCTTATCTGCCTTCTTTTGTAATATCTTGTAATTGTTTTTCATTATTTATTCTTAGGACCTATCAGTATTTTTCTCAAATGTTGTACACAGTTCTTTTTATCTCTAGATATGGAATACTAAAGTTATTTTTAATCTCAATGAGTAATTTAACATTTTAACTTAATATTATTGTTTCCAGTACTCATTTTGCAATTTCTTGTCATTTAATTTTAAAGGATTATAGGGGTAATGGGGAAGAATTTTGGAAATTATATACTGATTTAATTATTTTGGGACATGTTGTGGCTAAAACATGAAATAATTGGGATGTGGGGATACGAGTCTTGTCACATTACAAAATAAACATTATGATTTAAGACATTGTACATTTTCAATTATTAGCCATAATACTAATGATGGGCAGGGGAATATATTCCTATATATTTCAACATTACAATTTATCTACCCAAACAAAGTGCTTGTTGCTGTTTTGGATTTATACACACCAGATGACTATTCATTCCTTTTATTGTGTAACACAGCAATAGCTGATGAATTATTTTATAATGCTTACTCAGGTTGGAGGCAGTGGTGTTCTGATTTCCCCATTGACCTACATTTTCGATGAAGAAACTCCTAGATGGCGTAAGCTTCTATCCAACTTGGGCCTCTAAGTGTTTCTGTTATGTGTATTAATGGTTGTTGCATCCTTCAGTGCATGTCCCACTCAACCCGGTAACCTATCTATAAGAGAAAAAGAACTCCAGAAGTTGGATTCTTTTTTTCTGGTACCCATTTGCTGTATTTTTTCGCATATTTATTATGTAACTGAAACTAGTTCTGTAACATTTTCGTGGAGAAACTGTGGCTGATGTGTTTGGAATATTCTCATGTATGCATTAATTTGACAATGACTTGTTATTTAAATAGAAATTAGTTCAAATAGGACTAAAACTATGGCAAAAACCTAAAATAGGACTTGCTATGTTTTTATTCCAAAATAGGACCATATGAATCCTATTGGAAACATACCTATTTTTGCATTCCATTCTTACCATCCATTAAATATGAATTAAAAATAGTCAAAAGCTATAATTAAATGTTTAATTCATAATAAATTCGAAAAAAATTCAAAAATTCGTAGAAATATAATTAAAAAATTTATAAAATTTTTATAAAATAAAAAATTCAAAAACTTTTTTTTAAAAAATAATTTTATTTTTTAAAAAATTAATAAAAAATAGTGAAACTCCGTAAAAAAATTTTAAAAAAATATGGATGCCTTTCCCACCGCCTGTACTACCTCCCACCACCACCACCTCCGGCCGATGAAAAAATGCCATTTTCCCAGAAAAATGCCATTTTTTCTGAAAATGCCAAAAAAGTGGCATATTTCTCTTTTCGAATGTCAACATTTTCATTTTTTCTGCCATAAATATGGCATTCGTAATGAACTTGGCATTTTTTTCCCCTGGTGACTGGAGGTGGTGGTGCTGAGGCGGCAGAGGCGACGGCATTTTTTTTTTTGAGTTTTTATTTTTTTTTTAATTTTTTTTTTAATTTTTTTAATTTTTTGAAAAAAAAAATAATTAAATTTTTAATATCGAAATGTTTTTCTTAATTTTTTGGTATTTTTTACGAATTTTTATTATTTTCTATTATTTTATTAGGAATTAAAATATTTTAATAGCTATAAGGGTATAATTGTCCAAGGTACACATAATTAGTCCTATGCAAACATAGTTTATTTTTTGGTCCTATTTGTGAAAAGTGAATGACTTTTAGTCCTATTTTGATAATTAACTCTTATTTAAATGATTAAATCTGAATAAGTTATTCAAGGCCTACTACGTCTACGTCTATGTTGCCACAGCCCACAAGTTATTATTTAGTACACTGCTTCCTTCGTAAGTGCTATACTGCTACAAACTGGCAACCTGATAAGTTAATTTTATTTCAACAAAAAGTAATTAAAATCAGGGGAAGTTGAAACAATGAAAGAATGAGAATTATTTGTGACTATAATGCAATCTCATGATTAGCAGTTTAGAACGTTAATTAGCATTTGTAGCTAGCTTAGTTGTGGGTAGGGTTGCCCGATGGAGGGGTGGGCTTCCGCCATTGCAGAGAAGGAAGCAGTAAATGATTATCTGATGTTGATGATGGCACCATTTTCCGGGGCAAGCTGACAGCACCAAAGTTCTTTTCTCCGGCAAGGGCAGAGTTTGTGCCGGGATTAGGCGTTGGAGATTTGACCGGCTTCCATAGAGATTGTAAAAGGAGAGGACCCCTTACTTTCTTTAACCCTAATAAACTCCTGGCCGTGAACTTATTATTAATCTTCACAGCGGCAAAGTTCCTCTCGCCGAGAGTGGCTGTGGCAACGGCTTTGTTGGTCCCTGGGTTCGGCCCCGGAGGATTAGGGTGTTTCCACTGCAGAGACGGCAGCAAGAGACGTTCATTATTCACCGCTTCACGAGGAAATGGTCTTGTGGCTTCAAGAGGTTTGATGCTTAGTATAATCATTAGAAGTATAGAAACAAAAACTAATAATTTGTAGAAAATAGTTTGAGAACAAGGTGGATAGCAATGTGCCATTATGGGACCGTCCCTCTAATTAATAGAAGCGGTTGTATATTGGAAATTTGAATCACAATGTGAGGAGAAGATATTGACTATATAGTATATACTTGATATACGATAATATTTGATGAAATATAAGTAATGAAATGATACTTAGCTCTATAGTATAATAATTAATTAATGAAGCTTGATTGGTAGGAGAATTTGAATTTAGCTAGAGAGATAAAACAAGTGATTGATGAATTAAATTGATGTCAGAAGGAAATGAAGGGGAGGCTTATTTATAAGATTTCATTTAGTACCTTGACTTTGCTACCTGGGCTCGCTGCTTGACCGTTGCATTTTGACCGGGAAAATATATATACGGTAACGCAGAAAAGTACCGAACTTGAATGGGTCATCTACTCGTCCCATTATTTAGTCGTCAGATCATAAAATGTGTTTGCGGTAATTAAACATCTACAAGAGTTGGGCATTTTTAGACCCAAATAGTAAAAGATGATGTAATTTAAATTATATTCCGTAGAGCAAATTTATTCAATAGAACAAATGTTGTTAACGAACCATATTGACAAAAGAAATAAAAAAAAGGAAGAAAAACAAAACAATTCATGGGAAAACGAAAACAGCAATGAATATAATATTATAAGAACCTACGAATAAGTTGAAGATGAACTAGATCAGTAGAAGGGTGAATGTGTTATTAAAAATACCTAAAATTCGTGCCAAAATTAATTGATTAAAATATGGTGTTCTAAGATCGATCTGCCATTGAGATTTCAAAACCGCTGTCAAAATTGACGTCGTGGCGTTACAAGAACACATGCCAATGGCAGAGGGGAGACGAAAATGGAGATGGAATTGAAGAGAAGATGCAAAAGTGTAGAGGTAGAGTGACTCAAGGTGGAGATGAGAATAGTCGGAACCCTGCAAGAAAAAAGGTTCGAGGATATGAAAGTGACATATAATTGTATTTATTAAGAATACTAAACATTTACTCCTATTTAAGAAATACTTTAAACGGTACATTTGCTTCTATATTAAGGGTATAAATAATGTAATGTGGATCTTATTTAGGGAATATAGAAAATATAATCCTATTTGGAAAGTTAGCTAATGTTTTACTTTGAACGATTCATTTTTTTATATCTCAAGATACGAAATACTAAATTTATTTTTTATCTCAATGAGCAATTTATCCAAATATTTTAATTTCCAGTACTCATTTTGCAATTACTTTTCACTTTTTCATCATTTCTTCATAATAGTTATCGCATTTATAGAGACTAGTTTGATTAATTTGATTCTGATATTCGTGGCTATGGATTACTTTGATTCTAATACCTACTTGTAGTTGTATCAAAGTAATAAACTATTTATTACTTTACATTTTAGGGCAACATTTCACAGTCAAAATGTAAAAACAATCAGCAATTTTGACCATAATTTCAATATACTTAGCTATAAAACTAACTTTAATCTTACTTATTTAAAATATTATACTATTCAACAAATGTTATCTGAAATTACGTTTTTGATAAAAAAGTTGATTGATAAAAATTTATAAGAACAAAAGAGATAATTCTATTAATCTGTATATTGCTACTTCCGTCCCTGTTTAGTTAGTCATCTTTGACTTTTGCAGTCAATAATGGTAAATTTTAGACAATCGTTTTGATTAATATATTGTTACAAAACTTATAAATTTTTTACTTTTATTATATATTTCTAATAAAGAATATTTTCATATTATAATAAACATTTTATAAATATATTGTCGCCCAAAATTTAGCATCATTGATCGCAAGTTTACAAACCAATATTTGAAAGTTTGAAACTAATTGTGTACCATTTTTAGAACAACTGTGGGTATTGATGTGTAATATTCCCAATATAATGTCTCATATGTGCATTATTTTGACAACGACTTACAGTATATTATTACTTAAATTTGCCTTGCTCAAGAAGGGATCTGAGCAGAATTCTTGGGGTCAACCTAGCAAAGTGTCTGACCCATTCTTTGGGACTTGGGGTAAGGTCACAGCCCATAGCTAGAGCGCATAGAAATTAATTTTGCATCCATATTTATTTAAGGATATGGGACTTTGCCTCCTATTTTTAGAAAAATTAACGTGCCCATCACATTTATTATTAACAAACTGACTTTAATTACTCGCGCAAGTCATTCACAAATGTTTTACTAGTGGAATGCACACAACAATTTTCCTAAAAGGATCGGACTGCAAATTATAAACAAGTAAGTATGCTGACTTTAAAAAAAGTAATCAATCCGGTAATTTTAAGTTTTTTAACTTGTCATAATAGATTATTTTTTTGGGGGAATCTAAATTCGAAAAACAGAAAAAACATGTAAAATTTATGAGTGTGGAAATTTGTATTATACGATTTTGGACTATTTGTATACTATCGTATTATACATATTCGTTCTTAAGAAGTTTTTACATTTAAAAATTACTTTTTCATTTTATTTTTAACTGTTTTTTCATTTTTTTTTTTGTTTTATTGAAACATATCTAACTGATTTCTAACAAACCAATTGGAGATTGCTTTAGTGGGAGAACAAAAAATCAAGATAAAACCCACTAAAACAAAAAACAAACAAACAACAGATAATTAAATTAAAATCTCAGATGTAGTCCGTTAGAAGTTAGAACCACACCCTTAATATGAGGAGGCAACGAGAAAGATACTTTTGTATTTATCGGTTGTTGAGGTATATTATCCTGGTCTGTTACTGTTCAAGAGTTCAAGACATCGCCCCATTACGGAGGCCGAATAACGAGGCCCATTTCAGCCTATCAGGCATGGTTCGGCCCTTTAGGCCCATTTTGGTCCACTTGGCCCATTAGGGTAGGTCTCATTGTCATTAGACTCTTCTCACCATTACAATGTACAAGGTCCCATTAATGGAGTATTCAAGCTAGTTAACTAGAAAGAGTAACTTGGGGAAGAAGAGAAGGGATCCCTAATATGGAGGGAAGGCCTCCTATTTATAGGAAATGGGGGTGGAGGAAAAGCCTACTCTAATGGGCCAAGTGGGTCAAAATGGGCCCAAAGGGCTGACCATGCCTGATAGGCTGAAATGGGCCTCGTTATTCGGACTCCGTACTGGGGCGATGCATTGGGCTCCTGAACAGTAACAGATCGGGATAATATACCTCAACATTGCTATTTTTGTTATTGGGTTGTAAAAATAATCTCATGTCTTTGTGAACTCTAGGTTACTCACTTTATGCACAAATGTATTGCTTTGTTTAATGTCAATTTATTACTACCTCCGTCCCGTTGGAAGGTTCCCATAGCAAAACGGCATGATTATTTAGACAATAATTAAATAAAGTACTTCGAGTGTATTTTGAGAAA